ACCACTCCTGCTCTAAGGAAGGAAACAAGGGGACGAAAAAAAAAGATTGATGATAGAACTGACAGGGTAATCAAGAGCGAAGTTGCGAAGAATAGGACTATAACTATCCAAGAAATTGCAGCCAGTCTAAGCGAAGAGCAAGGTGTTAGTCTTGCCTCTTCAACAGTCCGTCAGAACAAGGTCACAAATCTTGTTAGAACAAGGCTACAAATCTTGTAGACGAAGGTTTAAGCCGCTAATAAGCAAAGCCAACAAAGCCAAGAGACTTGAATGGGCTCACTATTACAACAATTTCACCGTAGAAGACTGGAAGAATGTTCTCTTCTCTGATGAAACGAAAGTTGAGCTAAATTCAAAGGATAAGGTGAGTCACTTTTATCGAGCAGCACTGTATTTATGAGGATTGGGACTCTCCCATTAGTGTTTATAGGCACCGTATATAGCAAATCTAATCATGTTTTCTCTTTTCAATGACAAAAAATAATATATACAGCTTGAGGCAGAGAGGACAGAGGTGTTTGAAAAATTCACATCATCATTACTTTCACAGCATTTACATTAGTCCTCATCTTTGTCGCCATATTTGTCACAACGTTTCGGCCGTTGTACGCTCCGGACTTCTTCAGGTGGTTGGAATTTCGAACTGAACCCTTTATTTCGCTCACTGGGGTAGACTGTTCTAGCTCCACGTGCCATGTTTGATGGATGTCAGTTATCAGTTATCTCCTGCTAATTTTCCCTTTGAAAGTTCTCCACTGACTTAACCAGGTATTGAACTCACCTTCTTTGGGTCTGTCACTGCATCTAACCAACGCCTTTATCCACTGTGCCATTTGGGTATGAACTTCTGAGTATTATAAACCTAATGTTTTCAGCATCATTTTTTACCAGTGCTCATATTGCAATTTTGCTGTTATCATTGCATGTCTTTACCAAAGGGGCACGTGGAACTCGATCCTCACTGAGTGCCTCCTACTTTCGGCCTTGTGCCTTATCTATGCTACGCTTGGAAAATCACTATACAAGTTGAGGTAAAGTGGACGGACGTTTTTGCAAAATTCACAATATCATTAATTTTAGCTTCAAAATTTCTTATTGATATATGCTCGTATTGAATTGGTAAAATTACGTATGGAAAACAACATCCCTCATATGGCGTCCGTTTTCATTGGTGCATTTTTCTTACCAGCTTTGCTCTGTCGATTTTGGGTGATTTCCACACGAATATCTTACTTCATATTGCCCAATGTGCAGTCATTTTGCCGAACACACGTGACTTGATGTTTCTTCACAAGAAATAATCAAACATGGATAAATCAGGGGAATGAGGTGTACAATGAGTGTAAGCAAACCTGGAAATGAGGCGGTCACCGGAGATAGGGCGAAGAAAGTCCACTGATAGTCTGGACCCCCTCCAACCATTCGCATATATATATATATATATCAACACAGATATAATGACAATATTCTCCACACGTGACAAATACTGACGTTATTTTTCAGTTAAAAATATGAAAATAGCGTTTCTCTACATTCCAGTTGCTAGGTACATTCTGTTTTTTGTTTTATTAGTTACTTTGTTCATTTAATTTCATTTTCGTATTTTGCTTTGATAAAGTCCACATTGGACGAAACGCGTCAGCAATTACCAGTTTTCCTATTGTCATTTTTATTCATTTATATATATATATATATATATATATATATATATATATATATATATATATATATATATATATATATACGTTTTCCTCGCAATCCTGGCACAAAGAATATGTTTATCATCTCAAAGTTCACTGTAACAGCATTTCCATTATGGTTTTCAAAAAGGTAGGGACCAATGACGCCAGCTTTTCCAACCGTACACCAAACAGCCATTTGGGGGTTGTGCAGTGATCTTTCATGCGGTTCTCTAGAATATTCAAGAGCCTAATAACGACAATTCTTCCATTGAGATGAAAGATGAGCTTCATCACTGATTACCAAAATGAGGCTTTCATTTGCCTCAAACTTTGCTTCCATTTGACGTGCGAAATTAAGCCGCTGCGCATAGTCCCCTGGTCTAAACTGTTACCAAATAACCATTTTGCAGTGGTAGAAAGGCAGTTCTTCATTGAAAATACACCTTACCCAACGATTATCGATGTCATTCATGTTCAGTAGCATGCCTCCGAGCAGAGCAATTCCGACTGAGTATTTATCGTTCCACCCATGATGACCGAATATGGCACAAGGCCGGTTTTAATGTGGGTATCCCCGAGCCCGTAGGCTCGGCAAAAATATAGCTCTTTGAACCCGCCTAGACGGGTTCAGGCCCTGTCTACCTCCCCGGACGAAACCCTCCCTTCGGCAAAGCCTCGTCCGGGTTCCTCTCTGCTAACGCAGAGAGTTCGACAGAAGGTGCGCGCAGTCAAAGACCGCTCAACACCACTGGTATTTATCATTTCACCCACGGGAAACGAATATAGCACAAGGCCGGTTTTAATGTGGGTATCCCCGAGCCCGTAGGCTCGGCCAAAAAATAGCCTTTGAAGCCGATTAAACGGGTTCAGGCCCTGTCTACCTCCCCGGAAGAAAACCCCGCCCTTCGGCAAAGCCTCTTCCGGGTTCCTCTCTGCTAACGCAGAGAGTTCAACAGAAGACGCGCGCGGACAGACCGCTCAACACCGATTGTGCAGCAAAGCTTGTCTGACACGTTCCAAATTTTCTGGGGTAAATACCGTTTGTGGCGCCCCCCACTGGTCCGCTATTCATTAATGTACCTCGTGTTCGAAGCCAATGTAAGATTGTGTTACGAGTGGGAACAACCTGATTTCCGTGTAAGTTGAATCGACAATGAAACTTACGCTGAACTGCTATGGCAGAGTCGGAACTCTTCACGAAACTGTCGTAGGAGAACACTGGATGCTCTATCGTCAATGACTTCAGCGAAAAAAATTGGTAAGACACCCTGGACTGAATGATACCTGTCAGACATATGTCCCTCCTCCTTGGGCTGGGTAATAGCTATTTCAAAAAACGTCCGTCCTCTCTGCCAGACCCTTCATGTATGCTGTGACAATATTTCGCTGCACACTTAGTGTGCCGTGTCAAGGCGGCTGAGAATCACTGCACTAGGTTATTGTCCAAGAGGGAGAGCAATAATTGAGCCGTTATGACATGGACAGTTCTCTTAAAGACAGACAGGGTTCGTTCGCTTGAAACCATTTTAAACATTTACGTGATGGGTCATCTATATCTGGTAGTTTAGACATTTTTAAAGATGGACATCATGCTTGAGATCTACGCTACAGAAATGTGCTTCTACAGAAAGACTCTGAGGGCACTATGGACTGAACATGTGAGCAACAGCGAGGTTTTAGAGAAAATGGAAACAAAAAGGAAACTGATACATAAGATCACGAAGAGGCAGGTGAAATTTTTGGTGAACGTAATGAGGAAAGAGGGCTTGGAAAACTTGGTACACACAGGACAGATTGAGAGAAAGGAGGAGAGAGCAAAGCAGCACATTACATACTTGATGGGTTTGAGTAAATGAATGGTAGAACACGGTTTGGGAGAAATAGGAAAAAGACAAAAAATATTAAGTGCTAGAAGGTACAGGAAAATATGGAGAACCATGATCGTCTACGCCCTGAAGGGACACGACAGATAAAAACAGAAAATTGGGATTTAAGCTCAACTCAGACCTCAAGTGAAACTCATACATTGCTAAAAATCCTGGAAAAATGGTCAGTTCTTTTAACAGCCTGATTCCTCATTCTATTCTCTACATTTACAAAAGCCAGATCAGGGTGAAAATTGAGTACTGCTACCATATATAGACAGGAACTGCCCAATCATCCCTTTCAAGTCTTGACTGAGTTCAAAATAGTCTCCGTTTTTATTGCATATATTCGAATAGACCCAAAAGCATCTCCGCGTCCTTGTGGGTGACAAATTATTTCCCACCCTACAACACCTTTCACACGAAAGAAACGTCGCAAGCCTCTGGCTGCTCTATTGCTAATTTCATCAAAAGTGCTCAGACGAACTATATTCCATAGTTCCACGAATTTCTAACGTTCCCGGAAAAGACCCTCCAGGCTACGCACATTGGAGCGAACCATAGATGTTCCCACTGTAAGTTCCACTCGAGCGGCTTCTTCGTGCGAAGTGCTGATCTGTGGAACCGACGATCAAAAGGGTCCTTTCTCGATCACTATACTCTTAACGTGTTCAAGTCTGGGATTAAGCGTTATCTTCACCACATATCCGCATAAATTGTACCTCTTATTCTGTAACCAACTACCTCGAGATTCTCTGATGTATTGTACAGGGTAAACATCGCTAAAAAAATATATAGATAGATAGATAGATATGACCGGGCTGAGATAGATAGATAGATAGATAGAGATAGATAGATAGATAGATAGATAGATATTAACGGGCTGAGATAGATAGATAGATAGATAGATAGATAGATAGATATTAACGGGCTGAGATAGATAGATAGATAGATAGATAGATAGATAGATAGATAGATAGATAGATAGATAGATATGAACGGGCTGAGATAGATAGATAGATAGATAGATAGATAGATAGATAGATAGATAGATAGATAGGGCTGAGATAGATAGATAGATAGATAGATAGATAGATAGATAGATAGATAGATATGAATGAGATAGATAGATAGATACATAGATAGATAGATAGATAGATAGATAGATAGATAGATAGATAGATAGATAGATACGAAAAGACTGAGATAGATAGATAGATAGATAGATAGAAAGTCGGGTAGCTAGATCCGTTTGTATGTATTTGTCGATATATATATAAAGGCCAGTCGAGATAGATATGTATGCCTCCACAAATTACCGTTGGCAATTACAATGCCTGACGTCATAATAAATTTGCGTTTGTTACATATTTCTTTTTAAAAACATCTCAGCATTTTTCGGCTTTTAAAGTTACAGACACGAAAGAAAAATCGCATTTGCGCATGCGTGCAAATGTATACTACTACGTTTTTTTTTTATCTTTTATTCGCCTTCCCTATCTGTCTTTTCCTACCTCTTCATCATATTTCCTCCTCCCCGCCTCCGCCATTAACGTCCCTTTCTCCAATCCTTTTCTCCAACAACCCTACCTTCCGGTTCGATGTTCCATTTATTAAAAATTACCGACTCTGCTCGAGTTCCATACCCAATTAATTCTATCCAAGAAACATACAAAACTTTGTTTCAATCGTTTGAAAGATTTCTAATCTGAAGATATATATTTTTAGCCTTAAGTTATTTTCGTTGCTTCACTTTGAAAATAAAATACCGCATTCTTTTTAAACGAAATAGACGCCCTTTTATATTACGAACGCTTAACATCCAACTGCAAAGGACAATTTATCCCCAGTTTTACGTTAGTCTGGCACAAGGTCACGGCAACTAGGACAATATGAACTCAATTCATTGCGGTAATATCTTAAAGTAACTTATTAACGATGACTCTACGGACAGAATGAAAAATAGTCAATGGACTGTTAGCTCGTTAACCATTACCCTAAGGCAATAAATCGTTTAATTTTCTTTCTTCTCTCTCTCTCTCCCTCTTTCTTTCTCTCTTCCTTATCACTTCTGCCGCATCACTTCCTTACCAGCATTGACATAGGTCAAAAATGACAACGCTACCTTATGGGTGATGAATTATTTTTCACCCTTTTCGCACAAAGGAAACGTCGCAAGCATCTCGTTACCATATCGCTATTTCCATGGTAAATGTTCAGACGAGCAACATTCCTTCGTTCCACCATTTCAGGCCTTTACGGCTAAAACGCGACATACCATGGAAACAGGATCCAACCATATCTACGCCCTCCTCCCTAATTCCATTGAAAAGAAGGAAGTTCCATTCGGGCAGCTTCTTTTCCAGAACTGCTCTTTTATGGAATAGACTCCCGAGAGCGTGCTTCCTCGATCGCCAATTCTAGGGTCGACCGTTAACTATACTCATAGTCTTCATTTCTTACCTCTTCTCATTACTTTCCATAAAACAGCCACATTCAGTAACCCTCTACCCTGAATGGCTTTGAGGTCTTGTATTGCGTGAACTATAGCGTCAAAAAGGTTCTTTCTTTTTCTTTTTTTTAATAATTTCACCCCAAGCAAGGCAATAATACCACTAAGACGGAAGTAGTTAGTGAGTATAAAAGAATATGGGAAAAGAAAAGATTATCAAGAAGACAGAAGATAGCGATTGGCAATGTATTTAAAGTTTTGAAGATCTATGCTGACTGGAAATAAGAAACTAGAAACGAGTTCTCAAACGAGAAGCGTGAGAGAAGAAACAGTTAGCATAGAACTTACGGCTACATCTGTCCATTTCAATTAAGATCATGTGACTTTCCCACCAATCTAATAGTACGCTTAAATTCATAACGTCTATGTATCAAAGAAGAAAGCAATATTTATTTAGTAAATACAAAAACGTGGCACAAGGCCAGAAGAGGGAATAGAGAAGGCTGGTCTTCAATCTGTCTTATCTTAAACTTACCTAACCACAATTACTAACCCAAACATATTACTGTATTCCTTACACCAAAACAATATTCTTACTTGCCATTCTTACAGCAGCCACCATAATACCTCGGAGTCTCTATGAAGTCCTAACTAGTTTTCGTATACACAATTTGTCGGGCTAGTACCATAGGTGAAAGTAATATTTATTTTGAAAATACAAAAATGTGTCACAAAGCCAAAAGAGGGGGATGGGGGGGAGGTTGGTCTTCAGTCTGATATATTTTAAACTTATTAAACACAATTACTGACCCAAAGATACCATAGTATTCCTTATACCAAAACAACACATTCTTACAACAGTCACCATAATACCTCGGTGTCTCTATGAAGTCCTAACTAGTTCCCGTATACACAATTTGTCGGATTAGTACCATAGCACAATTATTATAAAAATATTTACAGAGAACATACAGGGATGCTACATTACGGTGTTGGGAAAGTGACTGAAATCGAGATGCCAGGTGAATACCAATAATATTACAGATTCTTCTTTGGATTTTATATCTTCTTTGGGTTTTATTTGCTCGTATTTATGTCTCTCTTCGCAAGTGAATCAGCGTTCGGTAATGGTTAACGAGACTATTACGGCTAAATAATCAGTTCCCATGCAACATTCGACATTAAATACCCGAACAAGGGTTCGCACGTCGCAAAATCAACCAACAAAAAATCGCAGTGAAGTAATGCTTAATGAGGAAAATTCGGATGATTATAATCACTCAGTAGTGTGTCGATCCTCATTGGGTGCCTCTATACTAAATTATTATTTATCTGTACTACATATGTTCATAGTCTACTCTTCTTAACCCTTCTGCTTATGTCCTTAAAACAACCACATTCAGTAACCCACTACCTTGAGTGGCTCTAGGCCTAGTCTTGAAGGAAAAATAATGTTAAAAATATTCTCTTTACTGCTCGTTTTCATTTCTTTTTTCTAGGGTAAACGAGTTAACGAAAGTATTACTGCTGACTAGTGGGTTCGATCCTATACAAGTCCTTCTTCTTTTTCTTCTTTTTCTTCTTCTATGTGTCGTGTCCCTTCTTAATAATCTTCGTCTTTTTTAAATTTCTCCTAAACCCTGTTCTGCCATCCATTTTCTCAAGCTAGATAGGCTGTCTTTTCTTTTTCTCTGTTTCTCGTGTCTTCAATTTGTCTTCTGAGTATTCAATTTTCCATGCCCTCTTTTCTCATTATGTCGTAAAAATTCCAGTTGTCTCTTTCTGATGATAAACATGAGTGTCCTTTTTGTATCCATTTGGTTTAAAATTTCGTTGTTGCTCACATGTCCAATGCATGGTATTCTCAGCATCCTTCTGTAGAACCAGATTTATGCTGCTGCAAGTCTCTTCTTCATCCACGAGGAGATTGTCCAGCATTCACTGCCATATAGGAGGAATGGTATTACATAACAGTTCAGTACTCTATTCTTTGTTTCTAACGAAATTTTCCTGTTTCTTAATACTTTGCTTAGCTTTTGGAAAGCATTTCTCACTATCCCAATGCGCCATAGGTTTCAGTGTCACATTTTCCGTTCTTGTTAAATATTTTAATTATTGTAGTTAATATATTTTGGTATTTCCATTTTGTAATGTGACTATTGGGCTGTTCTATTCGGTCGTCTTATAATTAGTATTTAGTCCTTTCTTTTTGTTTTTCTTCCCTACCTTTTGTAGGAGTTGTTGTTATTTAATTTCCTTTCTGTGTCTACTATCAACACTGTGATATTTACATATCTAATGTTGTTAAGATTGTGGCCAGCAATAATGAATCCTGATATGACCTCTAACTCTCTCAGTATCACCTTACTGTTTAGGTTGAATAAGTCTGGTGAGAAGACATGTCATTGTCTTACACATGTTTCTATTTTTGTGTATTTACCGAATTCATTTTCGCAGAGAGTTTGCTGCCAGTAGAGGTTCTGAATTATTCTGACATCCTTCCCAGATATGTCAAATGTTAGCTAGCACTTCCAACAGTTCTCTGCGATGTTCATATGTCCCAAATCAACCAACCAACAATCTAGGTAGCGGGCTCGATACTCACTGCGTGTCCCAAATAAAATTCGTCTTTTAATAATCCAACAAGGGTTGATATTTATCCATATATAAAACTCTATGACTTCTGTTAGTCCATCCGTCCCTCCGCCAAACCGTCTAAAATAGCCATACATTGATCAACAAGGTACAGTTGATTTTACTAGGGTACAATAAATTTTCATTAATTCTTTTGAAAAAATTAAAAGTTTTATTATTTAAAATATAAAATATTCCTATTATTTAAAAAAAATAATGATTAAAATAGCAAAAACTTATTTAATAAAAATGTAATATTGTTTTTGCTTATATTTTCTTTAAGTTTTTATATATACAAGAATGCCGTTTCAAGTTCACCCTGCGTTTGCGAGAACTATAAACAAATCACAAATCCAAACATTTACGTGTGGCCAGTTGTATTTTGCATGCTTACGAGTAAGAAATCCTAAGAATTTATTCCTTGCTTTTAAAAAGCAAAAAATAAATTTTCTTAAAAACTATTGTTTACCATGATGTCCTATAAAATTAAATTAAATTAAAGAAATTCTTAAACAGTGAAGAGGGGTTTTTGACAAAGTATTTTTCAAAAAAAAAATCAGCCTAGACAAATTTCATCGATTAGTTTGCGAAATTGAACGAAACATTGATTTTGTAAATCTTGACAAGGAACGTTAGCGGTAACTTCAACAATACTGAATACTGTGAGGATTTTACACTTGTAAAATCAACCAATCTAAGCTTATCGAGCTTCTTGTTTGATCGTCTTGTTTTCAAGATTGGAATAATTTCGTTTACGTTATAGTTCCATTCCGTCTTTTTTACATTTTTTAGTTTTATTGTGTTGTTGCCACTTTTTTTAATGTCGTTATTTGCTTTCAGTCTGTTCTTTTTGTTTTCGCTTCTTACACACATAGACACACACACACGCATACACACGCATACGCACACATACACACACACAAACACTTATTAGCTTATCTCAGAAATAGAGACAAAAAGAATCTAAATGAAATCAACTAGATTATATTGCCCAAAACACACGCACACACACGTATATATATATATATATATATATATATATATATATATATATATATATATATATATATATATACTAGCAGTAGAGCACGGCGTTGCCCGGGGATGTAACAGTAAGAGATAGATCAAGTATCGACCATCATAAAGACTGAAAAATCAAATTGACAAAGATTATTGATTAAGGTTGACGGACATGCATGTCGTAATTAGTTTTTTTTTTTGTTTTTTTACGAATTGGTCAAACCCAAACTGAAACAAAAACATTGTTTTCAATCGTTATGAGTCTAGCGATTGAATAGAATTTTATTATAAACAATTGTCTTGGAAATGGAATTTTTACCGCATTCTGAATGTAAAAATAAAGAAAAAGTGTGCAAGACAATAAGAAACACTACCAAAAAAAAAAAGTGAAGTTTTGTTGAAATCGGTTGAAAATGTAGGAAATCCGATCCCATATATATAAACGAACACACACACACACAAACAAACAAACAACCTGGGTTTTATAATA